CCCCCCCCGATTCTTCAGTGAATCTGGAACTTTTGATTAGGCAATATATTGAATTGAGTACTGACTTAAAAATTAAGTCATTTGTAAGTACATTGTACATTTGGAAATAAAGAGACTGGACTGATACTGTCATTTCCTTCTAAAAAGGTATTTCAAAAGGGACACCTTCACTTCTAGTCCTCCCAGTGGCTGGACTCCAAGGGTAGCTAAGTTACTTTGAAGGCTCTGTTAAGCCAGAGAATGATTTTAATTTTTTTTTCTTCAGTCTGAGACCAGAGCGATGAAAGAAGCAAGAAAAAATAATGACAGACTTCGTCCCAGGAGTCTGGGGCTCCATTAAGTTGTAATGATCAAGTTCTGCTTGAGAGTTAAAGTCTGATGGCTTCTGGGCATTCTCAATTTGAGTAAGGAATAAAGTAGTGTCTTCATGGATGAAAGCAGCAGAAGTCGAAGGCCTTGTATTGGTTGGGCTGACTTTTAAAAACTGCCTGAGCCCACATTTTGTAACAGGTGCAATGTGAAGACATTTAGCTAGGGTGGTCTTAGCTCTAGTTTTAACTAAATTCTTCCTAAATCTGCTACAGTATTACAGTTCTTGCAAAACACACTGCATGTGCATTCCGTGTTCACCAAACCTACCATTAATATGATTCTGTAAATGCAACCTCTGAATTTTATTCTCAAGTTCTGTTGTGATACTAAGTAAAACTATTCTTGCTGCCATTCAGAATTCAGTTTTGCATAATAAAATCCTTGACTGCAGTAAAAGTGATTAATAGAAATGAGTTTCTTTTCTCACAATGAAAATTATTAATATAAATTAATTGTTCTTTATTTCCTAAGGTTGTTTCTTGGATTATAACTATTTGGATATTTGGATCCTTGACAATTTTTTTACTGGCCAGGGTTCTTGGAGGAGAAGTAAGTACCTGTATGCAAAAGGACATAGAGGGAGGTAATGTAAAGTTTCTTGGCTACGCTTTTCAGTAGTAATTGGGTTTTCTTGGTGCTTGGCTTTGGACCTTATAGCCAGCTAAGAATCAATGCAGTTGGTAAGCATAACATCTAGATCGAAAATACAGAGATGGTCAGCTCATCTTCCTGTGCAGTGGATGATGGCTTGCTGGATGTGACAAACAATCTGGAAATTTACACTGTGAATCCCAGAATGTAAACAGGTGTCTGTGATCCAGGACCAAAATCCATTCTTGATGGACAAGTGCTTTCAATTTTTCGGTCGCTGAGCTACATGGGACCCTTTCTCCCCCTTTGCACTGCTTTTGCATTGTCCTTTGTTTAAACTTCTTAATTTTTCTTTTATTTTATTTTAAATGGGGCTAGCAGCAGTTGCATAATGTCCTTGTGGGTAGAGCACCTACCAGTGTTTGTTTTCATCCTTGGCCTGATGCAGTTCAGACCCATTCAAGAATGAAAGTCAACACATGTTCTTCAATGCAGAGCCAATTGAAGTTCTGGCCTACATCCCTCCCTCCAGCTGCTTGCACCAGCAGGGTTGGAATAGCTGCTTGAGCTGTTTACGAATTGAGTCACTAAGTGATTCAGTTGTAAACAACAAGAAATGACTTGCAGCAAGGCCTTCAGACGGCTATGGTGGAACAGTCAGGAGGTTAAAACTTCTTAAAATGGCGCTGCAGCATAAAATGCCTTGAACTGTATCATGAAGTACTAAATATTCAGTGGTACTTGATTTTGATGTTTTTACTATGCATATTGCATTAATGATGAACTAGTGTTTCAAACTTCCTGCATCATTTACATTTGATTTAATCTTTTAAAATTTTCCTTTTAATCATAATTGAGTCTTCTTTTGTGAACACTGTTTAGAAAGAAAAAGATTTTATAAATGCAATTGCATGTTTTTCTGCATACCAGCATAATCCAGATGCCCTTAAATCATGCTGGTTTGTGGCTCAAAATGAAATTATCAGAATGTAAGATGGGGAGAAAGTGCATGTCTGTACTGGGAAGGATCAACACCCGCAAGAGATCACTTGCAAGATGGTCACTTGTTTCACCACTATTTTTCTTGTTAAATCCAAGAAGCCTAGCTAGTCCCAGCAAGATTTCAAACCATAGCAGGGTAAAACCGGACATTATAATCCCCATGAAGCGAAAACCAGTTATGGAAATACTTTGAACAAATATGTTCAAGATAGTCGTAATAAATTTAAACTGGCAATTGGAAGATTTTTGTGCCTTGAAGAGATCAATTTCTAGGTCTTCCACTTCCACAAAAGTCTTCATATACTTTATGTGTTTATTTATATATAATGGGTATGAGTATATTAATGCAGAAAACTTGTGTCTTTCCTGCTTGTGACAGGCAGGACTACAGCTGAGAGGTCTGTTCTAGGGGTGTGCTCCTGGGTATCATATGTACACTCCATGGAGAGTGGCAGTTGAGAACCACTTAAGGCAGAACATGAAAATGTGAGGGGTGGGTGGAATGATGTATTTTAACTGGTGTAAATACTTCCTTTGGAAGTGACAAAATTGTCATTTACAGTGGGTTTGGTTTTTTTAAGAAAAAAAAACCACACCAAAACAATATATGTCTAAGAGACCCAAATGATTGATTAAGAAATTCTAGAGGGTCGCATAGAAAACCGGTTTTCATACTAGCAAGCTTCCATTAGCTGAAATTTCATGAATACATATCACATCATTATTGCTATTCATGCTGTCATAACAAGATCAAATTGGGCCTGGTGACAGATTGAGGACTACAAAGCTTGTTTTTATGTGCTTGAAAATTTCAGGTTGCTTATGGCCAAGTTCTTGGTGTGATAGGATACTCCCTACTTCCCCTCATTGTCATAGCACCTGTACTTTTGGTGGTTGGATCATTTGAAGTTGTTTCTACCCTAATAAAAGTAAGTTCAGTATAATTTATGGAGAATTGTTTATGGCTTTTTTTAACTCACTTTCCTTCAATGCTTCAAGTCTTACCTTATTTAGGACAACAGAATGATGTGTCAGAATACTCAGAACTACAGCATGAGCTCTGTGATCCTTTTGGCTAGCGTGGTGGACATGACTGCTAAGCAAATTCTGCTTTAAGTGTGTGAATACTTGGGCATATACAATGCTGTTGCTATAACAACACCTGTTGTTATCAGCTAACTGCTGTTTAAGGATTTTGCTGTGCTCTACTAGTTGCATTAAAAATAAATAGGATTATCATTTTGAGAAGAGGATGCATAATTAAACCTCAGAATGAAGAGTCTGAAAATAAGCTGTTCTATCCCTCCCCCATCATCCAGATTATTTTTAGCTACTGCAGCATGAGTATGACGTTAGTCATTGTTCTGAGACCTTCCCATAGTGGTAGCAGTACAAAGCTCTCGATAACCTTTGCAGAGAAGGTTGGTATTGTTCTGATTCTACAGATGTGGAATGTAAGGCACAAAGCAAGAATAACTTGCCTGATGCCACCTGCTGTTGGGCACCTTTTGTGAAACTAGCAATGTTCCCTGATAGATCCTTGCGCTACGTAACGTTCCTGAATGCTTCCAGTGCTGCTTAAAGCCCTTATAGGTAGCCTTTGAAGTTGTTGCTGAACTTTTGGAAAGGTTGACTGAGAAAATTCTGTTACTAGCTAAGCTGTATGCTTTTTGAGTTCTTGTTCTACTGATTTGATTGATTATGTCCTTTTAGCTTGGTGGTAAATAGTATAATTGAAGTACATCTGAACTGTACGATAAGTAACAATTGCTGTGTTTGTGACTTGATAACTTGCAATTACTATTAAGTCATAGGGTCAGAAAGCAAATCATTAACTTGCCAGTTAACGGATATGTAACTTGAAAATAAATATATTTTAATGAAACCTCTGTTACTTGATTCCTACTAACAGTTTTATGTTAACGGCAGGGCAAATCATTTTGCATCATTAGATCATTAGTGTGAAAATGGAGGACAAGCCCCATATGGCCAAAACTACCTGTGCTGTGACAAGCACTGCTTGTTACGGCAGGAGAGCTCTGTGCTTGGGAAATGTTTCGTAGTCCAAAAGCTGGGGAGATTACAGTGAAATAGCAAAATGCCAGTCTGCTCTTTAGCAGTTGTAATCCACAAAGTAAACTACTTGAGTTATATGCCTCGATTGTTTTAATTGCTGCAATTTTCCTAATGTATCTTGGGGAATTCAGTCATGATATTGATTAGTCTTCTCGATCAGCTCTGCAGGCCTGGGTTAGGCAGCAAAAATGGAGATATGCGATCACATGCAATTTTTTGGGTTTTGTTTTTATGATGGCAGTTGAACAGGCCACATAATCCCTTAAAGGGCTTCAGCTTCTCTGACAGAACTATGGCAGAAGTTCTTTGCTGGGGTCCTATTATGTCTGCCCTCTTTGGTCTTGTATTTTGCAGAAGACTACAGCGTTTTTTCATGCCACTCAATTTTAAGTATTTTTCCTTTTTTATTAATGTTTGAGGTGCTGCTAGAAGATGATGATGTCTGATTACTTTTTGCTATAACCTTGCGAGTTTGAGCTTTAAATCAAGTTCACTGACCTCAATATTTTCTTTTGGTTTTTTGCTAACTTCATATAATGTAGTGGATATTCATAGTTAATGTTACTTTCTACCAGTCTTCTAAACTGGTTCTTTCTTAACTTCATAAGCAATATAGTTTTTCATACAATTACATGTTGTTTTCATATATGAAACAAATATGTTTTCATACAACTTGTATTTTGGCAGGCTTCTCACTGCACTTGAACAGGAACATGAGGTTCAGTTACCTTGAGGTGGGGGCATCCTTGGTTAAGGATGTATATTGGGTTTTTAAAAATCAAAGATACAAATGAAAGGTTACAAGCCAGACAAATCCTAAAATAAAAAATGGTGATTTAACCCTCTGGTATATACTGTAGCAGGAAGTCAAGTATAGTAACTCTTAAAGAACATAAGGAGTTAGTAGCTGGGGACAATCAAGGTAGAAAGGAAAGTTATTAATCCAGAGAGGTTTCAAACTGGGTGTATGTAATCTTATGGCTTGCTTTGTGGTATCTGTATGTCTTGCATTAGGGAAAATTTATTGTACATCCGTAGCTGTTCACTTAAGTAAAAATGTCCCAAATGAAAATAACGTACCTATTTGTGAAATATTTCTCTAAACTTAAGTTAAAATGCACAGTATTTTCTTTGTGTATGTGGAGTTCTACCCCTCTCC